CACTGGACCAGGCAAGGTGAGTGACTGGGCAGCAGCTTCTGGCTCCTTCTCCCTCCCTCCAGCTGGCAGTGCCCAGGGGCAGCAGTCAGCTGCAGAGCACTGCAGAGAGCCAGAGAGCTGCCAGCCTTCACACCCACCAGCTCCTCAGCCATGCACAGAGGGAGAGGGCTGTTTTTGGTTAGGCTTCCAGTCTGAACTCAGGGCATTTCATACTTGGATTTTTTTGCTTTCCTCTACCTAGAGCACTTGGACTTTGGATGTGGTCCAAATGCACCTGTAATAACAGATAACTTTCTGGCAAATACAAGATGTCTCTGAAAAATTTCAGACTAAGTCGTCAGATTAAAAGCATAGCTAGCTATAAACTGCAGAATGAAGAATGAAGACATACAGAAAAAAGGCTGCAAAAAACATGTATATTTACTCAAGAGTGCAGGTTCAGCAGACCTTAAATGCTTTGTATAGGATACTTTTAGTCCCGTTGAAATATTGTTCTTACACTTTCTTCTTTCTTTTGCTGTCTTAGACACAAGTGAAATTCTGGAAATGTTCTTGCTTCACAAGAGGGCAACTGTTAAGAGAAGGACAACTTCTGATAGGAATAGTTTAAATTTACAAGACATTACATATTACCAAAGTGCACTAGTCTGTCACTTTTATTTGAAGATTTTTTCCTCAGCTTGCTAAAAAATGTTTAGCAAGAAACAAACAAACAGTGGAAGAATTCTAGATACCGAACTGCATGGAAATAGGACAGGTAGTATCATATGAACTGCAGTAACAAGGCAGAACCAGGATGAAGTCCTCTTGGGCAGTCCCAAAGCAGATGTAACCAACAGTCTTAATGCTTTTTTCAGATGGACACTTCAAGAGATGGTTTCAACATAATGATCTGGAATAATTCAGAAGAGGATCTGGAGAAGGACTACAAAGGAATTTTCAGAACATTATAAGCAAGTCTTCAAATCGCTGGAAGAAATCCAAAAGTGCTTTGAGAAATGGATTGCTTTCTTCATTTGCAAGTCTGCTGCAATAATTAAATTTAGAGAAAAGTTAAGAAAGAAAGACATAAGAAAAGAAAAGCACCTTTTCTTTTTGTGGGGGGGAAGAGGAGGAAAATGTGGGGAAGGAAGAAAAGCAGTATTTAGGTACTCTGAGGCAAGTCCAGGGAAATGAAGCCCAAGGACAAGATAAAGCGGGACTCGGAAAAAAGGCCGACTTTCATTCTACAGTCTTAAGAGGAAAAGCTCTGATGTTAGATGCAAGACTTGTACTAGGAGTTGGACAGATCTGAGCATCAGAAACTTCAGATAACAACCTTAAACTTGTTCTTTAGGCAAAGGAAATCACTAGGTAGTTAGAAACATTAAACATCTGCAGTAGCTACATTATAGCCAGCAAATCAAGAACTTCTCTCATACAAACCTTTATAAGTCATGAAGTTAGATCTATCACTGATCTCCCTGTGACAGTTCCCGAATAGAGTATATATGAGGTGAGTTATGATATTTTGAATATTCTTATACAGAAATACCCATTTTATGTTCTGGAAGCCTATCACCTGCATGCCTGTAGGAGCTAGTATACCTGCATTTCTTCTCATTGAAGTGTAACAAACCAGCAAACCGAATATGCAAATACTCCTTCTTTCGTACTTTTCTGATATTCCTTTGAAGTCACTCTGTGCAATTCATAGCATTGCTTGGTGGCATTCACACTGCCAACGGCCTTGCTCCAGAATTCAGGGTTTTCCTCAGGAATAGCAGTCCCCTGGCGTGAGCCACAGATGTTTGAGAGCATATATTATTGCCATACCATCTGCTGAGAAAAGTCAGAATCTCAGCTGTCAACACTACTCTCATGTGAAGGCAAGGGTCCAGAGGCTTAGCATTCCCTACAGGCATATTTGCATTTTTTCTTCCTCTTTAAAGCAAGTCCAGAAAATGCAATTATGTATATTTTAATTGCAAGATGATGGTGTCAACCACCAGGTTTTGTTTTGGACTTGATCTTACTATGCCTCAGAGTTATGAGACTTCATTTCTGTTCTTAGCATTACCACTAACTTAGCTTAGTGTTTAAGAAACACCTTTTAGATGTTTCAATTTTCACAGTCCTGATTTCAGATATTGGAAATATATGTAAGCACATGGAGACTCACTGGTTGGGCTAAAGTTCAGGAGGAAATACAAGAATGTAGAATCACTAAAAGTAAAAAATGAAGTGCTGGGGCATACCAGCCTGAGGTATACAAATGTCACAGCTCATCAGTGTAACTGGGTTAACAAGTGGTTTGCTGTTGCTGGCAAATCCGACTCCTTCAACAAAGTGACCATTTGCAATAGTACCCTCAGTCCTGACTGAGGTCTGAAGCCACAATCACGAGTGGAGGAGCATCAGTGTGGTGCTGGGGACTGAGCACAGGAAAAAGGACCTGCTGTTTTTCCTGCTCACCTCCTTCCCCACCACTGAAATACAACTGAAAATCAATTGGCCTTTTGAACTTTCAAACCAACTGAAGTCAGTTCTTTGTAAAGTCAGTGCCTCACATCATGAGTACTGAAGCTTTAGTTGTACCTTTTCCTGGCTAAGCAGAAGTCTAAGGCAATTCACCTGTCTCAAACATTAATCAGAAATGAAAGTAGCAAGTGGGTGAGCAGAGATGGGCATTATTTAACCTGTTCCTGTCTGCTCTTCAGCATTAGATTCCCTTTCTTGATGTTACCCTGGGGCCTTAGAAGAGACTCCCACTCAGGCATCCAGCCAGACAAGTATTAAGAAGACTTTTTGCTTTGGTCTAAGTTGTGGCAGTACCAGATATTCTGACAGGGTCCCTCCCTCCTGACATGAGGCCTGCTATAATAGGTATTACTGCATCAAATAATAGGTATTACTGCATCAAGGAAGCTTGCATCAAAGCTGCAGTTCCTTCCCTGCTTAAAGAAAAATCCCCATTTTTAATAGCTTTGGCAAGAATATGTATTTTTTCTTACTATGAATATTGCCACCAGTGCCACTAATAACCCCCCATAGAGACTACGTTTCTTTCAAGGAAGTTTTCAACAGAAGTCATTCTTAACAGGCTAATAGTCTGCTATGGCATCTGGTGTGGAACTGAGCATGGATGCCTTTTCATCTCTGTCTTTGATTCAAAGAGTAGCAGAACTATGGAGACAAGTGTGTGAGGCCAATACACTGCTTCTCATTGGTAGTCACCAGTTCAATACCCACAGCAATCAAAAGAGTTGTACATTGTTGCCCTTCTGGAACAAGAAGGAGCTGAAGAAAGAAATCTTCATTTAAGCAGTGTCGCTAATAGTGATAATTGTTAATTTATGTTTTCACATTGCAGAGTAAGCTGTATTTTTACTTTGATAATTCCATACTTACATAAAATACCAGGGAAGCTTTGGCACAGTCCTCAATTAAAAGCTGTCCTAAGTGATAGATCTTCACTACAGGAATAAACATCTTCTTTCTCACGTACTGTAGTGGAAGCAGCGTCATTCCTCCTGAAAGCCCGAAAGAGCCAAAGGGAGGTTACTATTGTGCTTATTTTTGTAAAAAGGAGTTTATCTCAAGTAGATCTCCACCATGGTCTGACTCACAGAATAAGAGTTAACCCATAATCACCACCTTCCCATCCACTGGTTTCCCCTGCAAAGCTGCTCCTTTGCTATTCCACTTCACAGAATCACAGAATTCTGTGATCTGTGATCACTTCTACATTTCCTGCATTAGGAACTATCTTCAAAGGTCACAGCACCTCAAAACCACATTGCAGACAGTGTATCGTTTTTTGTAGACTTGAGCTACATCAGTTCGTATCCGGATTAAGAGACAAATTTCCTTTTCTTCACTGTGCTGGACCCTCACCAGCTTCCTTTTCTTGGTTTACCTCTTACCTGCTGTGGTTTCTTCACAATTTCTGCTTATTTTGAAGGAAGTTTCTACTCTTTTGAGGATACCCTTTCTTTTGGTGGTATTAGATCACATCAGTGCCGATGACCACAGGGCTGTTTAGCCACATTGCCCAACTCTTGCTGGTAAGACACTTCTGCAAGTGACCTGAATCACAGGTTTGCCTAAACTTCCAGGCCTAGAAGTCATACTAATTTCTTCATGACCATTAAAAACTTCAGTCTTTATCAGCAGGACTGTATGCCTTTGCCCCAGGGAGCAGGCATGATTTGTATTAGATGACATCATTGCCACAGGTTTATCTCTTGTCATTGGAAGTCTTTCCTGAAGGAAAGGAGACTGCTGGTAAGATACTTTCCAAGTGAGAGCCATAAGCCTGCTCCTGGATAGCTGCTTGCTTTGAAGTAAACAAGCAAGTCAACCCACAAGCTGCCTTTCTTCTTGCATTTTTTAGTTATCACATTTGCAAGATATCTACAAATAGCTCAGATTCACCTTAAATATGTGCAAGTAATTGACTGCATACAGAGGGTGCGCTTGTCTGCTCCAAACTGATTTGCATGGAAAGGTGCTTCAACCTTCCCAAAAAAGTCTTCCAGCAGCACAAGCATTGCAGACAGCGGTTAACACCAAAGGAAGGCCAATTCCACCTGCCAGGCTATAGTTTTCAATATAAAAGCCCTATTTCCCCTCCAAAGAAATAAATGCTATTTGTAAGCCACACACACAACAGTTCCCAAAAGGCAAGAAAAGTACTAACAGGAACTGAGTTCTTCCAGATCACATCCTTTCTATCCAGGGCATTGCAGCAATCCTCACTTGGTACTTTCAGTTCTCATTATTTAATTGCTGGATTTGAGTTTTCATGTTCCTACAAACTGCTCACACACAGTGCAGTGTTTCTCAAGCCAATAGTCCCAAGTAAAAATACCTCAAGATAATGACACAAACTTGAAGGCCCCTCAGAGTTCCCTTTTAAAGAGGACCTGAGCATGTGATACTCTGAGAAAAACAACCAGAAAAGGCATCAGTAGCTTCAATAATTAGTATATCCTTTTATTTATTTTGAGATTAGCCCAAAGTCAGTCAATAGGCAAAAAAAATCAAAAACAAATAGGCCAAATCTAAGATTAGCTATTCTAGGAAAAAAAATAAAAAAGGTAGAAAAGAATAAGTCTTGCCACAGACTGCCATCTTAAAGGCACAAGAGGATAACTGATTATGTACAAACATACTCAGCTCTCACAGCAATCCAGGCTGGGTGGACACTGACTAGGAAGAAGCCCTGCAGAAAAGGTTCTCAGGGTCCTGATGGTCAGTGAGCTGAGCCCTGCCAGCAGAAGGGCCAAAAACATCCTAGGCTATATGAACAGAAGTACAGCCAGTAGGTTGATGGACATGATTATTCCCCTCATCTCAGTACTCAATAGATTGTATCCAGAGTACTGCATCATTTTTGGTGTGAGTTCAGCAGAGGGTCTGCAGGATGCTCAGGGGTCTGGAGCACTTGTCCTGTGAAAAGAAACTGTGACACTGAGGTGGTTCATCCTGGTTAAACTTTGGGAGTGCTTACAACAGCTCTCAACACCTGTGGGAAAGAGACCAAGGAGCTGAGTGAGGCTTTTCACAGCAATGAATGGTGGGAGGGTGAGAAACTATGAACAAAAGCTGAAAGCAGAGGGGTTCAGAGAGAAGATAAGGAGATCCTCTCCCCCTGAGGACAGATGGGCAGGGGTGCAGGTTGCCCAGGGAAGTTGTACTGTCTCCATCCTTGGAGTTTTCCAAGCCTCAAAAGGGCACAGCCCTGTGCAGCCTGGTGTGAGCTCAGAGGCGACTGTACCTGAGCGGGAGGGTGCATTGGAGTCCTCCTGACCTTTCTTCCCCTCCAAATATGCCTATGATATTGCAATCCTTTATAAATAATTTTTCTATAACATTATTACTTACAAAGACACCAAGTACACAAATATGTGGACCGCAATATTTGATGCCTAGCAACCAGCAGAGTAATTCCTGGAAATCCATATAAAGGGAATTACAGGGGCTGGACTCTGCACTTATTAGGTGGTTTTTGCCATTAAAATAGCACATTACAGCCAAAAGAAAATCTAAGAAATTGTTTGACTGCTTTCTGATACAGATGTGACAGGGCTTTGGGGATTAGTCAAGATGAACCTCACTATGTCAGGCCTGTACACACTTTGCCTCAAACAGATTTTTGCCTGATCAGCACAAACAGAAAACAAATGAAGTGTCCCGGGACCTTTTGCAGGTCGACATTGGAGTCTATCTTTGTGCCATAACTACTCATAATGCTAGTCATTGGGACATAGGTCTTCAGAAAGCACGGGAGCAAAAGGGAGAGAAATACTCTGTGTTGTTACTTTTCTTCTCACAGAGCCCCATATCCTCTCTCCATCACATAAACACAGATTAAAGACCTATTATTCAATTGATTCGGGTGGTGCAATGACAAGGACATTCCAATTAAGGATGTAATTTTATTGCCTTACCTTCTACAGCCACAACCACTCTCTGTTGCAAATCCACTTCTTCCTGTAATTCTGTGCTTCTCTGGAGAAAATTTCTGACCACAGGTGTGCAGAAAGCAAACTAAATTATCCCAACAAGACTTTTGGATCTTACAGTCTAGGAATTGAGCTGTGTCCATTCGATATAGTAGACTGAAATGAAAGAAAAGAGTATGGGAGAGAATATAACCCTCTGTGGGTTGTGCCTACCTTTTTATTCTGAAAGCCTGTTTAATTATTTGCCCTTACGGTGAAATGTTCTTAAATGACAAAAATAATTAAATAAAAACTAGACAGTGATCTTTGTGCTAGTAAGGGCATATGAATAATAACACTATGACCTACTGGCAAAGGAGGGGTAGGGGAGGAAGAAAAACACTGGGTACTGGGACTCCCTCTTCATTGGTCATCCCAGTGCATCATGTGGCCACAGCTCCTTTTTAAAGATAAGTCCTCATCTCCTGGAGCTCATAATATCCTCCCGTCCTGCATTTCTGTTTGAACCTGTGGAAGACATCTTTCTAGCCTGACAAGATGTGCGATCAGTTTGTGGGCACCTGGAAGTTCCTTTCTAGTGAAAACTTTGAGGACTATATGAAAGAACTGGGTGAGAATTGTTATTTTGAGTTGTTGTATCTGGGACAGGGAAAGAATATCGATTTTGAACTTTATTCTTTACTTGCTTTTTCTGGCTATGTTGTTTATCAAGGGAGCTTTAGTCTGACTATTTTGATCAGATGGTCTTTAACTAGAGAACTCAGCTGATGAATTAGTGGTATTAAATTACTATAAAGCAGAAAAACCCTGATTGAGAGGAATAATTTCAGGTAAACTAAGTCTATGCATGCGTGAATTAGCTTTTATCCTTGGACATGCAAATTGGTGTGATGCTGGAAAGCAGCAAGCTTCTCTGTGTCTAAAAACAACACACCCAAACAACCCATTGTTACTGGACTGAGACACCAATTAATTGCCATGGCTATTATAGTGAATGAAACTCTGCAGCTGCCTCCAGTGAATATTAACAAAGAAAATTGCATGGATTCATGCAGATACTTGCAAAGATTTGATGTCTAACACTTTCTTTAAAGGTGTAAGCTTCTTGCTTAAATTTAAAATTGGGCTTTAAAAGTCTTCAATATTCTGTTAGTGTGGAAGAAGCATGCGGTAACCTGCACTGATTCAATTAATACAAGGTAAAAAGCTGGGAGTTTATTTGCAGATTAGAGGATACTCACTGTGACTTATGCAGCACCCAAAAGCTTTCAGAGAGTGAGACTCTTGCACTCTTAATCTTTACTCCAGATTTTAGTCAGGACGTAACCATTGCCAGCTATTTCTTAATCATTTCCTTATATTCAGCCTAGCCACTGATAAATCTGAACAGTGCTTGCTTTTTTTCCCCCTTGTTTGTTTGTTTCATTGTTTTTGAGGCTTAGAAACTGTCATATATTTCTGCTTATTTATGTTTAGATACATTTAGCATACAAGTTAGAGTACAAGATATCTCAGTTGTTCTGAACAAGTCCATGTGCAAAAATCCAACATTTAAATCTTGTCTCGGTGTTCACACTATTTTCACAATGACAGAGTAGAGAATTTCCTTACATGAACCCACCCAATTTGGTCTGTAGTAGTTCCAAGCTACTGGGATATTACAAAGGAACATCTGCAACCTAGAATTATTAAAATTCAGAAAGCAATAAGGGGAAACAGCACTGAAGGTTTTTGATTTTTTTTTTTGCAACACATAAGAGAAAAACACTGAGCAGAGATAAAAATTTCTGTCTTATTTATAGGTGTGGGGTTTGCTACCAGGAAGATGGCTGGTGTGGCCAAGCCCAATGTAACTATCAGCATCAGTGGTGATGTGATAACCATCAAAACAGAAAGTACTTTCAAAAATACAGAGGTCTCTTTCAAGCTGGGTGAAGAGTTTGATGAAACCACAGCAGATGACAGAAAAACAAAGGTGAGTTCAAAAATGGCACTTCACAAATACATCTCTCAAATGGGATGTGGGTGCAGGAGGGTAGAGCTGTGATTTTGACATCCAGTGTAGAAATGCTGCCTTCACAGGTAAGACTGTTATGAATGCTTGTGCTCAGTGCCATTTGGACATGGAGGTAGTCTTCTCTTCAGCCCAGAGCAGCCTGATGAAACAGCCACACTTTGTTTTTTCCTTTGGCAGAATGTCGTAACCCTAGACAATGGTGTACTGAACCAGGTGCAGAAGTGGGATGGAAAGGAGACCATCATAAAGAGAAAAGTGGTGGATGGAAACCTGGTGGTGGTGCGTTCATTTTTGTTATTTAATCACTGAATTCAGCATGCAGAATTCATGTTTGGCTGATGTATGACTTTGGATTCAAAGGGAAAGGGAAAAGAATCATAAAGGGCTCTGTGCACTTGGTGAGAAGTCTCTCTGAATCAGAGTCTGGAGTGTGGGTTAGAACTGAAATGCTGTTAAACTTATGGAATGGTATGGAGGTGCCTGTCTCCATTCATAGCAAGACATAGTTAGGAAAGTGTAGGGAGAAAAAAACCAACATCCCTGAGGGAAATTTTTATTTTTATATATCAGAATCTCTAAGTCCTGGACAGTATAGAGGAAGCATTAGCAACGTCCATGTTTAGTGCATCCACTATAAGAACTCTTCTGTTCATCTCATGCATCATCAGCAACTGTGTCAATATGATGTTTGAGCTAAAAAGGAAACCTGTGTCCAAGCTCTGTTGGTTGGTTTTATCTGGTCAGAGACTTGACTTGTTGCCAATAAGGCCCACCTACAGCTCAGGGCTTCCCAGCACAGCTCTCCAGTTTTAGGAAATACACTTTGAAGAATCTGGGAGAGGACTAAAACCGTGTTCATTTTTGGCAACTGAGATTCCTACATGCTGCAAAATGATACACATACGTGAAATTCCCAAAGAGTTCTGCCCTCCCCCAAGGGAAAAATAATATGTTCATAAATTTAATATTTAAATTTCTTTGGATAGAGACCAGAGGAGAAGAAATAGAAATAGTTTTTAATAACAACTTTATTAAGAAAGACTGAACAAAACAGAGTTTGATCTAACAGAAAAACAAATGAAGACAGAGCCTAACATGCAGAGGCTGACACCAACAGCTGCAAGTCTGAAAGCTCTGTGTGTGTACATGCGTTATGCACACGTGTGAAGAAGACAAGCTGCAGCTGCAAATGGTGAAAGGAAAAAAGGCTAATTCCCAGCTCCAGGGTCCAGTCACCCTCCATAGAAGTCCTAGGAGCCTTCAGAGATTTTTAAAAGACTAGAACTCTCCTGGAGGTCACCGGAGTAGTCCTTTAATGTTCTTTCAGTCCTGTGCTTGTATTTAGACTTCTGTTTCTGAAGATCTCAAAATTGAGTTTCACTGTTTTGACAATTGGTATTAGAAGAGGAGAAATGCATATTTTTCTTACACCGATTCCCAATGACAAATACTTCTCTACCTTCTGACCAACAAACATTTAGTGAGAATTAAAAGCTGATTGAATTTACCTTTCTTTCCAGGAATGCACCATGAATAACGTTTCCTGCAAAAGAGTTTATGAAAAAGCATGAAGAAGTCACCTTCACACAGGAATAATGCTTGAAGCTGGAGAAAAACAACTTAACCAAAGGAGAAAAAGTCCACAAATCTGTTTTAAAGAGAACTGTACTTTTTACAGATATATTCCAAAGCAGTTACATGCAGCTAGTCTAATTTGTTGTGCCTATTCAATAAAATATTCTGCTTTCTACAACCTGTGCTTGTGCTGGCGTTTGTCAGAAAGGGGCTTTGGGGGGGATGTAATGTGGGAAAGGGCGCTGTGCAGGAAAGAATCATGTGAAAAGCAGTACCACACTCAGTAAATGTGACCCATCTCACCGCAGAAAGAGGATTAAAGTCAATCTAGTGAGTGGCACTTGTGTGACAGTGACAGATGTAGACCTGGACACAGAAACATCATCTGGTGAGTGCTGCGTGTAGGCCACCCACTGCAAGGAGTCTGTGCACAGCCAGGGGAATAAAGCGGCTGCTCTTCTTGGCTTCAAGAAAAAGTTGTTGTTCCTGGGGCAGGGAGAATGACCACCTATGGATGCTTGTGGATGCTGTGGATGACCAGTGTCGGCTTCCTCTGTGTACAAATACAGACAATTTTAAACCTGGGGACTATCCGAAGTGGCTTGACCTTGTCTTTTCCCCCCTCAAGAGTGAAATTATAGCTGCTGTAGATTTCGTCTGTGATTATTTTTTTAATGTGCTTTTCTTTAACATCTCATTTTGTCCTATATTAGACAAAAAGCCTTGAATTAAGAATCATAGCTTAAAAAGTACTCCCAGGTTTACTAAAAGCCTGTGCAAGTTTGCTAGTGCTACAACCTCCTTTATTACCTACATGCAATTTCTACTAGCTCATTAGGTTTGATCAGTCTTGGGAACATGAGCCTCTCTAGATGTAAAGCCCTTTGCACACCATGTTTTCAACTCTGTTTATTTTCAAACTACCTTCTTCTAATGCACATAGGCCTGGTCTCCCATTTCAAAACTTTGCATCCACAGAAGCTATGATTTCTACACCTGGGAGGACTCAAACTGAGAACAAAAAAAAATGAGAGTTCTGGGGAAAACCTGGACAATAAATCTCAAAATATGCGCATTAACCAGTAAATGGGGAAATGACCATATCTCAAGCTTTGTGATTAGGATCTGTGAACTAAATTCCTCATATTCCTGACATTCCTGAGGTCAGCTCTCAGAGGCGACCATGCAGCAGAGGCCTCACATACACTTGAACTTTCCTCTGCATGACTCAGACTGTTCCTGAGTTTTTGCACTGCTTATACAACTAAAGAGGGAAAAGGGAAGGACTTCTATACTCTGCATGAGCTGAAGAGTAGTTTTAGAGCAGTTCCAAAAGTCTATCAGCAAATCCTGAAGGAAATGTTAAAAGAGCCATGAACAAACAGCTCCTCTGTTTTAACTTTGGTTTCATTGTTTGTGAAGTTTCATCAACTTAAAGAACAGCAGTTGCAGATTAGTGGTAGAAAATGTGCATGGGAGAGATGATTATAAGAAGCAGAAGCATTGATTTAAATAGGCTACATATAGACATTAAATAACAGCCCGTAACTAAATAAATCCCATTGTCCACAATTTGGAAATACTGTATTTCAGAGGTCAAATTTCCAGTATTCTTATAGCAGCCTTTATTTTCTAGAAATCTTAGATTCTCAATACAGCCAACAGTTACAAGTGGAACATTCACAGCTTAATATTTCAGAGGCAGATAATCTCTTCTGAAAGCATCACCATTTATTTTTGTACCTGGTGAATGAATTCAAACTTTGTGAATGAATCAGGCCACTTAAAACTTCAATTCTTGGAGATTTCAACAAAGTGACATTCTGTTTATAAATTTTAACAGGGACAGAGGAGGAGATCTTTGCCCCTAAGCATATTCAATCACTACTACAGGTTACTGAGATGATAAGAGAGAAAGGGAACTCACACCCACAGATTTTTAGCAGCTCATGAGAAAGAGGAAGCAAGGCTTATTCTGAGCATTGGCCTTTCTGTCACTTTTATGTTTTTCTTTTTGTTTCCACTGGAAAGAACTTGAAGGACTTTTGCATCCTGGCCAGTGAAGCACCATGTGCACAGTGCAGTCTGGACTCATTCCCTTGGCCCCAGATGTCCTGGTCTTGTAGGATGCTCCACTCAAGAAACTATTTGCACTCTCCAATGCAGCTTTTGAGAAGATGCAGGCTGCTGGCACCATGTTCAGAGCTGATCCTTCAGCTCCATAGAGTCAGTGTTAAAACATCCTTGGTACCCTCACAGCAAGTCCTTCTTTGACCTCTGTTCTCCCCTTTTATTTTTGTTTTCTTCATTGTTCTCCTGGGAATTTAATTTAGGCTATTTTTGACACTGACTTTGCCCAGATCATATTTCCTTTAAAGAAATTGAGATAAATTTACTTTCTATATTTCTTTAAATAGTACCTTTATTTCTAAATAGTCTCTGAATTTTTAGTTCACTATTTTTATCAAGCTTTACCTTTGTATCTAGTGCTGTTTCACAATCTCCAAGTTCAATTATTTCAAGTCCTGTTTTACTCCAACTGCGAGCAAAAACTGGAATCAAAGTTCCACGTTATCATATGTACTTACAATTCTTGACACTTTTTTCCCTTTAAACTTGAAGAACAGGTTGGTTTCCACAACTATTTCTACTGAGTTAGAATTCCCTGCTCCTTTTCTTTCCAAACTGCAAGTCCTTTAAAAGAAAGTACTGATTTTTCTTAGTGACAAAGAGATAGATGGTAGCAATGTCAACATTGTTTGAGACTGCTTAAGACTAGGGTTTTGTCTGTATAAATAATCCTCTGTCACTTTTGTTCTTAAGGTTACTGGTACTGCAGTGTAGTTGTTCT